ACTAACGCATACCCAGACGGTACTCACATGCACCCACCTGATAGTAAGGAGAGCCTGCACACCCTTATGAGTGCTATGCGTGCCTCCTAGGGAAGGAATGAACGCGCAGAGGTGAGAATGCGCCTCCAAATGCATGCACACCCATTTTTCAACCATCGCACACACTACACTCAACCATATTATTTGCTGTGTAAGTGCGATGATTAACAGAATTGATAGAACGTCACATCGGAATATAGAGTTAACTGTCACTTCACCCAACAGGTTGTACTTTTCCATAGAGCGATAGAGTTGTAAAAAGAACGACACAGGGATTATAAGTTTGCACAAAGCTCACATCCTGGATATACAAAGATGGGAAGAGACACATGGGAAAGTGTGGGGCGAAACCAGATTGGATGCGACTACTCCGAATAAGGTCAGGTCACGTCGAAGAACCCCTTGCTAAGCAACAGGACCAGACACGCAAAACCCCTGTCTTACGTCATACTCGTCAATGCAAAGCGATCGATGAGACGAAGGGAGGCACGAGAGAAACCCCAAATATTCAATTAAAACTATGCACGCCATGACAGCATGTGCGGTTGGATTAGCCAACCGAACATGCGCTCTCGCTTGCCTTCTTACTGGCCATATGTTGGATGATCGCTCGCTTCACAAATAGTCCGACGAATTTCTCAACGAATCGGTAAAAATTGACAGGAAAAACTTTTTGAAATCAGCCCAGAAATCCGTGAGAGAAGCGGCGAAGTCCCGAATGCTCTCAATTCCTCTTTTTTCGGATAAACAAAGTGGAGTTTAAATAGGTTTTCTTATGTAAGTCCATGTCACGGTCAAACTCGGAACATGAGCGACTGACTAACTACGAAGATGTTATCAATTAAGTAAAATTCTCGGCAGTAGGCCTTGATCCTCGATCCCACTCGACTCGCATTGTGGGAACCTCACGTATCAGAAGAAGGCGTTACCCTCCCACACACACAGAAAAAAATCAGTGTGTCAAATGACGCACAAAAGTGGGTCCTGGATCGTCTGGGCGACACAGAAGAATGTGTCATGAGTTTTGACGCACTGAAACATGTCTTTTGGCACATCTTACTACATCAGTTCCAGCCTCATGACACGTTATTCCGTGTCCCAGGCCATAATCCATAAGTATCAACGGACACACACTGTAGTGTGTCATGGTACACAATTGCGCGTGTCCGTTGGGATATTCTCTCCTCCAGTGTGTCATATGACACATCTTACTGCATCTCTAGACGCGTTGAAATGTGTCAACCTTGTGACACATTTTATCACAACCAATATGAATAAATTTTCTCATGACACATGTACATGCGTCAAATGACACATTATATCGTGTAATTTCTCTCTGTGTAGGCGTCACCTCCCCCTGAATCGTCTATTAAAGACAATTCCAGAGAAATAGGAAGAGAAGTAGCACTACTTCTCGCTTATTCCTGGGAGGTAATCTGAATCACGACGCCTTACTGGAACTGGAGATCAGTCACTCGAACAAGTCCTTAGAAGAATATGATTTGAGGTTTCTTAAATAAAAAAGGGGTTTCAATTGTCTGAATGAAGTGTAATTCTTAAGTCTTAAAAACCCGCAAGTTTGGCCATTTAAACTATTTGTGTCTACTTTGGAAATGTTTCAAACAGAAATTTGTTTATGGAGTCCCTACCTGTCCAGACAAGCCACTGAATGAAAATTTCTTGGCCTCAGTTTTCCTTGTTTAGAATAGAAAGTAATTGATTCTCATATGTAGGTGATTGTGACCAAGTGAACGACGCTATTTCTAATTAGCGTCAGTCAAAGCTTGAGTACTGAACCTATGGACAGCACACTCTTCCCAGTTTTTCTTTTCCCCTGCCTCACTACCTGCATCCTCTCTCCAGCGGCAGCATTGGGAGTGGGGCTCTCTTCTCCCCCTGCCTCCCTCTCGACAAATTTCGTGGCTGATTCTCCCGATTGAAATATCCCAGTTGCCTCACTGGCAGAATATGTCAGCTTCTGAAATAGTTTTACTTCCGGAGCGCCAAACCACCCGGACGTCAAGTTAGGGAACCTTTCCACAGCCTGGTTCTTTCCCTAACATGAAGCAATAAGGCATTCACTCTCCATCCAGGACAATATTTTATTTCTAAGTAAATTGGACGAAAATATAAAAAAACCAATTCACAAATAAGGTAATTTGGGGGAATATGGTCATAGAAAATGAAACCTGGTCATAACGGCCCATCAAGGTCGAATTTTACTTTTACAATGTTTCTGACTATTGATTGATATTTCCTTTACTAAATCCCAGCAAGGCATATGCAATATAAGGCACATCAAGTTGATCCCAAGAGGCCATATTACCTCTATAGTTGGGGGAATATGGTCACTTCTGAAGAAAAAAAAACACGAAACCAGGTTTTCCAGGAACGCATGAAATAAACTGGATCGAGCTGAGTACCTTGAAATATAATAAAGGACGCTCATCAATTGAAAAAGAAATACTAACTACATTGAGGACAATAAAAAAGTCGCCATCATTACCTGACTCGAGGAGCCGTTGTGGAAAGCAGGAATGCAACGCTTTTGCATTTACGTGGCAAAAAATTCAAAGAATGCCCTTTTCACTTTCTTGTACAGTGGATATTTAATTGTCTTCAAACTTCATATCACAAAATTTTCCGGGGTTGTCAAGCGGATGTCTAGGAGGCGGTACATGAACATATTCTCATGCACCAGTTCCTCATGTAGTGCATATTTCGTCCAGATATCCAGGGCATCTGTCAATATATTCAGAGGGAGTGCTGCCTGAGGTCCCATATGAAAGGAAGCTGACACTGTCAATACGTCAGTGCGGTGCTACCATGAAATGAAGGATGTGTCCATATTACCCCAAATCGAGACGGCCATATTCTCCAATAATGACTTTCATGGCAAAATTGACAACACTGTCTGCAAACCGCAAGGGGCTAGAACTTTCCGCAAACATTCTGGTGGGACAATAGAAGAACTTCTAACAAATGGTTTCTGCATCCATGCTGCTACTAGGTAATATGCGTTTATCTTGCTCCAGGCTCATTTCAATTTCGTCACGAGTTGAAGAATCGCTTACATATGACTTTCAAGACATCGATGTATTTTGAATTACAATAAGAACTGGATTAACGAACAGATCTAAACATTTCAACAATTCCACGTGCTCTTTGAACTATTTCTTTAATTTTCCCAAACTAATTATTCAGCCTGTTAGGGGATTCATTGTGAAGGGCCATATTCCCTCAAGTAAGCCCATACATTTAAAAAATCCGTTAACAAAGAAGAGCATGGAATACCGCGCATACTAACAATGAACACTCGAAAGCCCTGCACTCAGCATTTCCACTAGCAGAACTGCGCCTGGACGACTACTCCTCATAGCTCGACCCAGGGCCGGTCGCAACTGCGAGCACTGCAGGCTGCGCATATTCTTTCACGTCCGCTGCCTTCGTAACGTCGGCATACTCTCGTGGAGGATATCGACGTGATTAACGGGGTGCCGTCCCTCAAAAATCCCCTCAAAGAGGTATCGGAGTTTCTCGCGGATGTCAGATACGTAGGCGACGTTGCCCTGCATTAGTTCGAGTAATTTTTGGAGGTAGCTTGGCCGCATTCGGGATAAATGTCGACTGTCGCACAAGCATCAATGTTATGCCTACATGATTAGCTAACTACGATGCTGGTCCAATTGATGTGAAAGTGGAAAAAATTCACAGAATTCAGCGACAACCAGGCTCGATTCATAACAGCGAAAAAATTAATGTCAGAGGCAAGAAAATGTCTGACATAACGAACAAAACCACTGGCCTGAATGTTGCATGGCGATGGCTTCGTGGAGGAGGTTGGATGATGCCAAAAGGACCAGTGCATGGCATCATTCCGAAAAAAGGAAACAAAGAGAAAGCTACTATGCTCTCGTTCAACACTTTCACAGTCTGGAAAAAGTTCCCCAAGCGAATCACATTATGCTGCCCTAATTAATTAAGATTCTATATGAATAGCACCGTCATATAAGCCATCAACGAAAGGTATCAAAAATACGACCCATGGGGCCAGATCCAGTCCGCAGAGGTAGTTCATAAGGCCGGCCGTCTGCTCTTGAATTTTCAGCTTGGACTGGCTGTCCGCACAAATTTCGGCGAAAAAATTATGGATCTGCAGACATCTGCAATGTAAGGAATGTGGCCCGCCGACCTACTTGAGTTTCACACCTCTACCATAGACCATAGTGTAAATAGAATATGAATTGTAGGACAGCGATATGTACACCATGTCAATCACAAAAAGGAATGGAAGAGTATGCCAAATCCAGACCGAAACAAAGACTAAATTTCAAAAGGGAGTCAGAGTCAATGTTAAAGACAAAGACAAATGAGGGGTCAATATAACACACCTGCTACAGGATGCACAGTGATTTTTGGGATAAGAAGCGGAAGAGTTATGAAAAATCGGAAGCCTTCTATGATTTCAGTTGGCGAACACCACCAATAGATTTTTCTTATCCGTAACGGATTTAACTATCAAGAAATCAAACCGGGTCATTTTTCTGGTTCTAAGGGGCCTATATGGAGTTAGGAGCAAAGGGCGTTTGGGGTAATTCCTCCGCCGTTGGTATTTCATGGGAGGAGACCATACCATCATTCACACGGAAGGGAAAAAGTCTGAGCAGAGTCATGAGTTCTATGGATGCAAGAGGACTCAGAGATTGCAATACACGATACTCACCAAATGGAAGACCAAGGTCATGAGCCAAAGTACTAACCAAGACTGATTCAAAAAGAGCAATTTCTCAGCAGCTTTAGAAAGGAAGGAAGCAAAGAGCTCTACTGCGAAAAAAAGTTGGCTATTATTGCATTTGCATAATAAGCAAAGTAGAATGTTTGAAACTTTGGCAGCAAAAAGCAAAGAAAAAGGAGACAGTTTCATAATGAAGCTTCACCCAAACAACTATCATGTCAACGGATCAATACTCAATTATATAAGCAGGGTAGAATTCATCATCATAATACTTGATTATCATATTTGGTCCACTTGTGGAATGATAACCAGTGGGCGGCAAGGTCATGCTAGAGTCTCCCTCTGTGTACAAACCAATGAGGACCTTGACGACAAACATGCAATTTTCTCCTTTTGCATACTTCATTGACAAATAAGGGTCAGTAGCAAAGTATACCCCTTTGCCAAATGCAGTACCATTGGCAGTTCCATGCAACCTCCAGTTGAAGTTCTTCTCGCAAATCGATTGTATATTGGCAATTGACGTCCCATGAAATAGGTATCTCTCATTCAATTTTGATGGGTCATCTTTGAAGTCCGTCTTGAGAAAATGACATTTCTTGTTTTGATACATCTCCCAACGAAAGGGATTCTGAACTCTGGTAACTTTTCGAATTTGCATGCCAGAGTCTTTCATGAGGGTAGCAATGTCCTTGTATTCTAGGGCAGTTGGGGACAAAGGGACCAAGCAGTAGTGTTCATCTTTCATAGGATTCCAATGTTTGGGAACGTGTCTGTAATCATTAGCGGCTTCACCAGATGACTCAGAAGGAATTGGTGACGGGGCTGGGCGTCGCCTCACTTTCCTCTCTGTGCCAAGCTGTCATTGAAAGAAGAGGCAGAAATTAACAGTGGAAATTGTTTGTAAGGGCTGAGAGAAAAAATAAGTTTCAGGTGGTTTTAAAATATGAATAAATTAACGGAAGAGTTACCTGCAGGCCAGTCGATTTTTTAGAGGAAGGTAGGGCAGGCTCATTCCAAACATATAGGTTGCTAATAAGTGTTTTCCCAAAGAAGCCCATGATAATCGAAAAATCATTATGTTTTTCGAACCCATGATAATTTCTCCTTATTTTCGAATCCTCCCATGGATATATGGATACATGTCAACATTTGCACATGCCTCAGCACAAAAGAAAATTTTAAAATACGTATGAGCCTGGACCCTGGATTAACCAAAAGTTTAAGAAATTAAATTAAAAAACGTGAATCTGCCATACGACGATTGGTTTTAATTTGCTTGCCACCAGGAGTGTAATATACCGAGCGACCGCATAGTTGCTAGGTATAAGGACCGGCCTGTTGCACATCTGCTACGAACAGATTTAACTCAGGAGCTCGCTATCTGCGCACTCAAAAAAATGTTTATTTGGTATGTAGCATATCTGCTACGTCATGCATTAAGGCGTTAATCTTCTTAGAGGAAACACTGTATATGCATCTGTGTTGCTCTGTGCCGTCGGCACTTTCAATATGTGATTATCCTGGGTACGCTTATACCAATTCAATGAATGCGAGCTATTTGCGTCTCCTTCTCAATTTAATCTAACATGCAGTATATCTTCGCATTTAAGAACTGGGCGTTTGACGCTCTGGCAGATAGAAAATTCAAGTTGCTGCCATAAGCTGGAATCACTCATTCATCGATTCCAGATGTTAGAGCATTTCTGCTTCTCCTAGAGGTTGAAAAGGCTTCTCACCAACCTCTCGTCCTGCTCGTTCCGGGCACTGAATGCACATTTGATATCCCAGCTACTTTACTCTTATTGTGACTGAAATTTATTAGGAAATTTTTGAACGTTTATTTCCACGCTATAACAAATATTATAACTACTTTGTCCTTTACTGGCCAGAGTGCAAGAGACCATGTAATGAGAAGATGTTCCCCTCTTTCTCAAAATATAAAGGAAATCCCAGGCCATCATAGTCCCATCGGATCAGTACAAAACAGACCTAAGGGCGTCGCTGCTGCAAGTGAACCAGGCTATCTTTGGAACGTTGCACCTTATATTTTAAAATATTAGGTGGAGTGCGTACAATTTAAAAACATCCGTCACTTGACTGAAAAAATTCATGAGGAAACTAATAAATGATGGAAATATTGCAAAGGGTTAGGCACTAAAGAAAAATAATGCAACATAAAAAAAGGATATGCTCCCTGGTTTTTGCATGCAGTTATACCCTACCTACTCATTCCCCACTCATCAGTAGTAGCACCTTATTACTTTAAATATCACCGCACCTGGCGGTAGTTTCTATGTCTTATTAATGAAAAGCCGAGTGACAGGATAAGCCGATCAGAAATCATAAAAAACCTACATTTTTGTTCGTCTGCACCATCTTCAGAAAGTCAATCTCATATTTGAATTCACTGGTGGAGAATTGTAGACTGGCTTCTCCCTGAGAAGTCAGATATGCAATGTATGCCTTTTCAATATCCTGAGAATTTACACTGCTCTTGAAGTTGAAATTGGGTTCTGCAGAAGGTATAAGACGGGTACGTAAACAAACCAGGAACTTCATGGTCTCGGTTGACATACCTAAGGTCTCTTTGTTCTAATACCTTTCAAGGCCCTTTTCTTTGTCGGAGAATACGTGGTACGTAAAAAACTATATATATAAAAATAAAATCGCCGCAGCTAGTCATAGGATGAAGTTTTTAGCTTGTAACATTGTAACGAAAAATAAGCCATGTCAGCTGATACAGCTGAGACTGATACAATTTGTCGGTCTTCATTAGCTTGAAAATACTCGTATGAAGAAAAAGCTGTCATAATCAAGAACCTGTTCTTGTTAATGCAATGCAATATGGAACCCACTGACAAGTGCAACTCAGGAAATAAATCTATACATTCACCATGAAAACTCAAAATATATCAATAAAAAGTAGGGCCAACAAAAGATGGAATCTTGAGGTAGGCAGTCAGAAACAACACCATGAAGATCAACTTACACTGTAGGAAGAACCTTCTCTCCAGCCATTGCAGTGGAGTCTGTACAGAGCCTTTGCATCTCCATAGCAACACCACTTATGAGCTTCAAAAGGGTCATTTTGTTGAAATCTACCTCACAGTCTGAATCCTCAAGAAGGTGCTTTATGAATCCAAATCCCTTCGATCCAAAGGCCCTCAGAGTGACTTTGTCAATGTTGGGATCCGCATATTTATCCTCGAGAGCCAGAATCTGAGACCTGCTCAAAGGAATCCACTTTTTTGAATCTGGATGTTGGACTTGCCAAATGAAACCTGTTGCGTTTGCGAGACACTTTTGGGGTTCCAAATGTAAATACGCACAATCAGGCTGGTCGCAGGACGCACCTGACTTGCAAGCAGGATGGAGGAACAAGCACCGATTCCCAAATTTGCAATTAGGAAAGGTCCTGAAACAAGAATCAATCAAAATTGTCAGGGTATTTCACTTTCTATAACCACTATGGCCTCGCCAATGTCCAAGACAGACTTACGTGCATGGTTTATTCGGATGGACATACATGCATGTGCTTTCATGTTTGCATTGAGGCCAGTAACGGCACCTTTCTCTGACTTTTTTAGGTCTTCGTAAATCCTTCGAATCCTCTGCTTTTTCACCTTTCTCAACTGAACCAAAAGGAAAGCAGTAAATTTTTTTGTTTCCTTTGTATCATATATGTAATGTGGTAACAGGTAACAACTGCATGTACCCATGTAGTACACACTCGTTGGATCGAGTCATGTTGGATTCCACACCTGCGCGATGTGGACTCAAAGTTGGTTCCCAACGTTGTGTCCTTGTAGGCCTGTCCTTCGGCCTCATGTTGAACCAACATTTACTCGCTGACGAGCAGAATGACTTTAAGGCTCTTAAAACCTGGAGTGTGCGTACATAATTGCACATCACTGTTGTGCTTCCCTACCAGGGGACCTCGCCGCCGAGTCTTTTTTGGCCTGGCTAAGAGTACTTCCTCCCTCGATTGTCTCCATTTGAGTCATTCACTTTCCCCGCGGAAAAGAAACCCTTTGTGAAATTTTCTCCCACTCTGGAAGTGGTTGACAAGCAAGATCCCTTAGATAACCTCTTTTACCACAGCGTGATCTGTATTCCCTAAAAGGGAAGAGACGGAGCCTCCACAATAAAACAATTCGTCCTCCCTCCATGGAGTAGGGTCCCAAGCTGAACCAACTCAACTAGGCTGCTGCACTAGCACCTACGACAACATGAGCAACTCACTACGATGTTGGTTCACTCTCCCCCAATCGCAGTCAACATGAGTCAAACGTGATGTGCTGCTTGGAGCTAATAAAGCCTATATTCTGCGTGGCCTCGATTACACAACGCAGTCTTACGACGTAAAACTAGAAAAGGTACGTAAGGTCGCTCAATGTAACGATAAGGTTCTGTTACCTTAATGTGAATAAAGTCCTTAATCATCCCATCCTTAATAAAAAGGACGTATTTCGGCTTCCTGAAATTTCCTGACCGCAAAATTTGTACTCAATTTTCCCTGAAAGCCTTTCTTGGTTGTGAAGAACCCCAGATTAGGAATGTGGCGCAGTTGGATCGTCGTGCTTCTACTGACTATAAAAGTATTCTAGTATGCTGACAATTTCATTGGTGCGCCATAGCCACAAAGCCATCAAACAGAGAAAACTGATGTAATAAAAACCAGGAGAAGCAAAGCACACCATTACAAAATTCCTTTTCCTTCTGAATCAATAGGCACTGTAGCGCCTATTACTGAATCTCACTATTGAAATATGTGAATTTCATTGGGTTTTTTTCCTCCCCCCCTGGGGGTTTTAGGAGGAAAGAGACCCACCATAAGAAAGACATTGACTCGTAATGACGAAAGTGCCCATTTTGCTGTGATCGATGCACCATTTCGCCATGAAAAGTGAAATTAGCTGTCGTTGAATTAATTAGACTTAGAATGCTTGCTCCGGTACTGTCCCCAGTGTTGCCGGATACCGTGCCGAAATTAAGCCAAATTCGAGACTACTTCAACCTCCGTATTGGCGTCTAGATCTTGATTTTTTACGTATGAGACATTTTTGTGCTGAGTTCAGGAGTTGAGCTGAGAAAGTAGCGGTGATTAGCAGTGATTGATCGATGTGGTGGGATATGAGGATATCCGGACATCCCTGAATTAACAGGATGGCGCGCTATGAATTTCATGCTTCCTGGAGGCATTCCCCCAGACCTATTCGAGATGGTTCGAGGAACTCAAGATAGGCCTAACTTCCCACGTCCGCATTGAAATGGTTCATGAAAGGCGAATTAGGCTTCAAATCGGCGATATTCCACAGCGGTGTCCTGCTTTGATGAATTTAGCACCTGAAAAGTTGTATTCCTTCCAGGAGTATCGTGATTATGGCCTTCAGAGATTCGCTACATGGGTTGATCAACACAATCCAAGACAGGTGTGACTCACTTGACGTTTTTGGCGATGAATGCAAAAATGGACAATCAGACCTTGTACAGACGGCATCAAACTTGCACTTTGGATGAACGAGCAAGCACTGATTCCCCAACTTGCAGTTTGGAAATTCCCTGGAAATTTTTCGATTTGACTCACCACATCACATAATTACTCCAACGGCAAATGTGCGACTCAAGCTTACTTGCAAGTTTCTGTGGGGTGAAAATATTTGCAACTGCTTCTTGGTTTACAATTGGGCCAGTAGCGACATCGTTCTTTCGATTGTGATCCTTCTCCAAGCTTTACACTTGCCTCGCTCTCTGAGACACGAACTGATTCTAGAAAGGGAGTTATTCAAAGAGCTAATGTGCATGAACACCATAGATAATCAGTAACATAAAAAGAGGCATAAACGATGTGCACCAGATTAGAAATGACAAATTTCAGGAGAGGACGATGTGGAACGAGCATTTTGCGTCCAAAGAAGAAATGTGGGGATGGGAAAAAATGAGCGAATCTAAAAAGGTCAATTCGTAATTCAAAAGGACTTTTGTTTCATTTTCAAAAGAAGGCCAAGCGCTTCGCTTTATTTTGACTAAGCGAAGTTTTCTTCAGATATTTTATTCTCCAAAAAAATCACTGATGGTAGTTCATATTCACATTCTTCTTTGCTGCAATGGCATTAGGCAATTGCCCATAAATAAAACTCATGCATTTCACAGGTTCCTCAAACTGTGATCACAATTATGAATGCAGCTTCATATTTCTGGCACTGGCGTGCCCAACTGTCATTCTCTATTCCACTTAACTGTAGCAATAATCGATTACTGACATAGACGCCGTGCAAAAAAACACTTGAATAGTGCTTGTAAAAATCTCACCCAGGGGTTTGCCTATATCCATGATGGCTGCATCATGAGGGAGACGATTTACTGAGGACGACATTTCAGATCTTGTGCGAGTAGATGTCGATGCTGAAATTTTAATTTGATGAGATGGTTAAGCAAGATAATTTTTTTTCATTCGTGCCACTTTTAAGGGCAGCTTTCAGAAAATTATCAAATAGCTGGAAAAAAGAAATATCGATTTCGAAGCCCATGATAGACTATTTTTCGAGTATTCCGCAGCAAATTGTTTGAACTGGCAATCACCACTGGAACCATCATACTTGAATCACCACTGCTTCCAGTAAGCCGGCCCTCTAGAGGTGAAAAAAGACAGGATAGGCCAAAAAACCAGGACAGTTTTAAACAATATACTACCTCACTCACCGTATATTTTGTAATGCAATTTGCAGCATTTTGAAAGGGTAATTAATAGTTTTAAAATGGCACACTTAAATTTAAAATATCGTCAAAAGTTATAGAAATTCGGGATCTCATAAGAAACAAAAGGGTTGCCGCACACTCGGATGCAGATGGCACGTAACCTTCAGCCGCCTGTTCCTTCCCGCTGCTACAAAAAACGCAGTGTTTCTTTGCTTTTAGTATTTTTCCGAATTTCTGACCAGTTCTGAAGATATTTGGAATGTAAGTGCGCAATTCCAAAACTTAGTTGTTCGTCTTTTAAATGCCACAAACCGCATTAAAATATATGCACTGAGTGCAATATATTTTAAGTAGGGTGCATTTTTCTATCATTTGGGCCCATAATTCCATGATTTAATTGAGATGACAAACAAGTCAATATGAGAAAACATTCCAATGAACGTCATGCTTCAGTTCTTACATCAAATGATACCAACCTTTTTTAGGCAATAAAATCTCATTTTTTCTTCTCATGACTGCTCCTCCGCGCTCGAAAACTTCGCTGATATTTTTTTCTTCAAACATATGGTTTCATCTCCGTCATATTGCAAAGATCTGCGGCAGCAAATGAGTTCCATGCTTGAATTGGATAAAGATGTGAGTGGAGTATATACCTGTTTAAATTTGTATATACTCTGCTCACAAAGCATTGGTTGATGAGGCCTGGCAGAGGAATCTCCAGAAAATATGCAATACATCGGTTGCACAGTTTCGGTCATTGCACAATACATTTGAAATTGACCGTTTGATCAATGTGACATATCTACAGAATAATGGCTACTCATTTTCTAGCTAGATCTCCTTTGACCAGCACAATATCAACTTTTAAAAAAGAAATCATTGTAACTACGAGGTGGTATCGGAAAATGTTCCCATGTCTCTAGAACAGTTAGTACAAGCGTGACGGTACATATGCCAATATGTACACTGCTTCCTGAACTACCATCCATACACTGCTGGCAGGGAGCATGCGCAGCACGGTGACAAAATGGCCGCACTCTTGGAAGCGCACAGAAACAGTGAAGTCAGCAGTGTGATACGATTTTCGTGGGCAAACAAACACGCACCCATAGAAATCAACCGTCAGATCGTTGCCGTGCATGGTGACGATGGGAAAATGGTTAGGAGGTGGTGCCGTGCATTTGCTGAGGTCCAGATGAGTGTGGAGGATGATGAGCGCTCGGATCGCGACTTCATTCACGAGGGTTTGGAAAAACTCTTTTACCGATGGGACAAATGTATACATGTAAGTGTGGATTATGTAGAAAAGTGGAATGGAAACAGGGTTTCATATTACCACTTCGTGGAGGAATGTTGGAAGTATATTTCTTATAGTATAGAGACACGGGAAACTTATTTTCTGATAACCCCTCGTATAATGAAAATACGTATCTTTCACATTCCGAAAATCAAGGCAATGGGGAGCTTGTAAGAGTGCGGAGCAAGGAGAGTTCCAGGTTCATTTCTATTCCCCATCAAAAGGGTAGGCCTGCATAGTTCGGAAAGCAGCATACATTTAGGCTTAGATATCATAATACCTGGATGTTGGGAGAAATTTCGACCTTCGTAAACTAGTAGCAAAGGCAATGAGGAAAATTGGGAACGAGAAGGAATTTGCTAGCTCTTTGGATATCTACGTATGTAAATGGCTGGTGGCTTATAACATATGAGGGGTGTCTGGAAAATGTGAGCATTTGAACAGGATGTAACTACTCAATAGGAGTCGCGGAAGAAAATGAGAACTCAGATTAATGACCTCAGACAAAAGCAACTAGTCCAACTTCTGACAATCCGAATGAGGCTCAAAAGATTACTTGCTATCAAAGTGAAAGTTTCTACAGACTTGGGACATACCAAAGAGTACCTAAAACCAAGTTTGGGTTAAGGACCTTTAGGCTTTCGAAAGAACTCACGCGTCCAGCTCCTGAAAATTTTACTCTTATTACCATAACGCACTGTTCCGAGAGAGCTCTTGGTTCTCAAATTATCTCCTACATTCATTATAATCCACTTATCGAGAGTGAATGAGAATTTGAGCAATTTCGAAGGAAGGCGATCATAGAAAAAGGGCCCGAGTATCTTTGTAAATCGGTACTCTACTCCTCGTCCAGATTCTTACTCTTTCGAGAAAGTTCTTTCATTGGCGGTCTGTATTTAAGAAAGAGTTTTAATTGAATAAACTTTGGCCTGCAGGACCAAACTTCTCCTACCGAAGCAATAACTCTTGCGAATACATTTGGAGAAACAGTACTTTCATAAATCAACTGGGTCAGATGAGTTTTCATCATGATTCTCATAACTGTCTGGCACCGATATGGCAAAGCTTTCTCATCTAGCAGTTGCACATTCAGCTTCCAGAGAGGGAGCAATTAACTCAGTTTAGTTTTATTAGAGCCAATTTGGACCTTTACAGAAACTGAGCCTAGATTAAGGATTGCTCATTATCATACAAGCCACAACCAGCCATACATCTCAGGTTGCAATCGCATATGAAATCCGGAAAGATGGAAAGTCCTAAGGGGTCGCCAGTAATGAGATTCGATAGCGATATCCCGAGCACAAGTGGATGACCCTCTTCAACATCTTTCTTAGGGGAGAAGCTGCAGGGGGAGGGGCAACAAACATCCCAGGTGTGACGTCTCCTGATAGTGGTGACCTCGATCTGTACTCTTTCGGTCTTGAAGGGTTTTAGTAAAGACATCCTCATGTCTGACTCCACTTTTAGATGGGTTTTTCGTTCTCTTTTTCTCCGTGATCATCAGCCCCAGCCTCTCGCTTCTGTGCTTCCTTGATGTAGCCCGATCCCATAAATGTCCATCATTCCGCGAGACAACACCGCTGCACTCCTCATGAGAACGGTCATGGACGCGATAAAACACTTAGGCTGAGATACACCAGTTCATCCATCTAGCTCGCCGGATCTCTCACCATGCAACTCTTTCCTCTTCGTAAAGGTCAAGCAAAACTTACGGGGACGTCGATTTGAAAACGAGGGAGCCATCAATGAAACCTTAACTACGTTGTCACTACTCACCATGACTAAGGCAGGTGTCACACCTGGGACCGAAGGCCTGGTGCAAAGGTGGTAAAGTAAATCCATCTAGAGCAGGGGTCGGGAACCTTTTTGGCCATGTGAGCCATATTAAGAGTGAACTAAGTGCTTGTGAGCAAAAGATTTTCAGAACAACATCATTTTTCCTGAAGATGGCTTCGGACATGAACTCTTTGATACATGAGAAAAATGAGAAACAACCAAGATTTTCAGTCATGACTCAATGAGCCATAGGTTCTCGGCCACTGATCTAGAGGGTTACTACACAGACTTCTAATAGGTGTATCGTGAAAGAAACGAATTTGAAACAAGGTTCTCTGTTCTGGGCTTCTATACCAATAAAAAGACCTTTTCATACAACCCTCAAGTATATGTAATTACAACTGGAAGCACCTTTAAATAAATATTTACAAATGGAGGTCCAAATGTGTTAGTAATGTCAGAAAATATGTATGAGATTCCATCTGGAGATGTCATGGTATTGTACTCTTCAAGAAAATTTCGGGGAAAATTAAATATAAAAACGCCAAAAGGGCAGCTCTTAAGTTCCTTGTAGATAAGGGCCATGCATAACTGGAATAAATTTTGAGTTTGTTACTTCCTGCAGTTCCCAAATATAAAAACTTTACTATGTATGGTTTAATTACAATGGCAACTAGAAAAAAAAACTCAAAGAGAAGATAGAACATATAGCTGCCATAACAATTGATGGGTCTACTCGATACAATTGAGTGAAAATGGAAATCGAATTAAAATACTCACCAACTCTTTTACTCTTTGATTGTCCCATTGGAAGTCTCCGAGTGTTTCATGAGCAAGCTATAAAATGACCTGGGAAGGTAAGCAAGGAAGTCTACCTGTGGACAGTAAATCATAATAATGAATGAAGCAACTCAAATATTCATTGTTTCCTTAAGACTTTCCTTTTCATGAAGTCTAAGTTAGGAATGCCACCATACTCTACAGTCGAAATATATGCTTCTCGTTATTCTAAACACTCGAAAGAACTAATAGAAATTGGCCGAAACAACTAAGATGACTTCCAAGAGGTTGCTACAAGATTGCATTTTCTTTTAGGCATGGTATAAGCCATTTTGAGGATAAATTTCCATTTTCATTCGCTGACATGCAAAAGGAATAATGTGAACTACGGAATATTTTTTCAGCGACTGTTATGGTTTTCTCTCATTAAATAGATCAGAACATGGATATCAAATGAAAGACTTTATTTCTCATTTTGCAGCACTCCTTGAGGAGCTCCAAGTGACTTATTTTGTAAGAGCATATTGTCAAATATTCACAAATGACCTACTATGGCTTCTGAAAAAAAAGCTGACACTCAGGAACTAACACTGAAAAAGGCCGATATTCAATCTTCGTGACGGGCCCAAAGTAGACATATTTATCAGATCCGTAGACTGCGAACAACTTAGGGACAGCACTCACGACTCCTAAACCATCTTTTGTGACGCCTTCTGAATCCAGTATATATAAGTTCAAGTGACTTAAGCTCATTGTTACTTGGGAGGTCTGGGCATGAAACCTCATGCCAACCACATCTCCATGTGGCTAATTGCAGTCAAACGTATCTCAAATCCAAATGGAATGAGTGTTTCAGATATTTTAGAGGGTGAATTCTCGAAAGGCTATAGAACGAACCAGATGGTGAACAGCAACCGTAAGTGAAAGTCATTTTTGGCGCGACATGAATACGTTTCGAAAAGAGCTTGGGCATTGGAGCATAGCCGAAGTTGTTGCTTTGTCTCATTCTAAATTTTCAGAGTTAAGAATAATAGATTAAGGGAGAAAGGCGAACGACATACATGTCCAAGCCTATTTGCAGATGTACATATAACCAGAAAGAGTTATTTTGATTCAAATATGAACAACCTGAGACCAGATATAGGTGCCTTCATGTACCCTCAGGTGGCGCAAAAAGATCCCAAAGTCAACATGCTGTAGATATAATGCAATACAAGACATCGGCAATAAATTTATAGGACGTCACATCCAATTGGTGTGAGTAACTTCATGCAAAAAGGCTTCAAATGATTTTTAACCTTTTTTTCCGTGCGACAAACAATAGCGTCTCTCTATGCCTGTCTAGCTAGACTGGGTTGTGGAGCACTACCAACCGCGTGTGGAGGAAGCATCCAGTCAGACTAGCAGACTCACTCCCTTCCGTTTGGAACAAATCTGTCGCTCAGGCTCTTTTAGACCAAATTTCAATCAAATATTTAAAGACCACTCGCACCTGTTGGATTTGGCAGTGGAAGATACCGGATTACCGGAATCTTGCATGACCTGCAGTCTGGGCTATGAATTATAGGCACATATACCATATATTCTCTCGGGTTGTCCAGATTAAATAAAGTTGTATTTCTGGGTTCAGCAAAGCTCCATAACTCCGGAAATAGAGCTCAACTTTCCATACACGCTCATTAACTGACCACTGCGGCGTCAATGTCAGTGTTCAATATTTCTCTGAAACAACAATAACAAATGTTCAGGGGTTTTTATTGGCCCACCCTGTATTATCGCAAAAGAACCCATTTTCCACACTTCTCATTTTAAAATGGGTTCCTTTAGCATGGTCACTTACTTTGACCTCTTGACACGTCTAGAAAGGAAGAAAAATTAATTTGCCCACATGTTATCAGTAATTTTGATTCGAAGCATCAGCCTACAAACTTCAACAACTTTTCGATAATAGGACGTAAGATCTATTTTACTGCACTGGCCATTAACCCTTTCGCTGCGTGAATTTTAAAGAGAAAATAGAACCGCGGGCGACTGAAGTCGCTTTTCGCAGCAAGAAGGGTTAAGTCCTTGTGAAAGACAGCCATCCTCGCCTGGTTCATCTCATTCCACATTTATCCTGCCAAATGAAAGGAATAAGGGATGAACCGCTACTAAAAGATCGTCTATTGCCCATGCGCGGGAATAATGCGCAGGAAAAGTACTGGCCCATTAAATAACACAGCCAAGTCTACTGGCTTTGAAGCCTTCATAGATATTTATAGGGTGAGCCTAAAAAAAAACTGTCTTTTAGGTGAGTTGTCAATCTGAATGTAGGCTGCTGATTCGGATGAAATGTGGTAGGCGTATAGGGTGACACAATTACTTTGTTTAGAGTTTTCATTTGACTGAATCCATTATCGTTATCAAGTCTGAATAAAACTCAGGTTTGGCGTCCTAGGCTGTTTGTCGACTTTGGATAGTTTTTGTCTAGAAACTTAGATAGGGCCCCTACCAGTTCAGATAAAACAATGAAGAAAAACTTTGATGCCACGCTCTTTCGTTCAAGTACTCTGGCTGTAAATTGTGCATGGATGGAAAATGTGCACACGTTTTCTGCACATGCCTGTAGGCATCAGACTATGTACCAATTGTATTTTGCTCAATAATAATCAATGCTTTATATTGGATTTCACATTCATGCTAAGCATCATTCAGGTCGTAAATCAAATAATAAATCTTGGAAATTCATTAATGAAATCTTATAAACAGCAAGAAAGGAAAAAAAGTACCAGAAGAGCACCTAAATATCACAAAATAAAGCCTTTCAGTTTGCATGAAACTGCAATCAAGAAGAAAGAGATACCCTGTGAATGACAGTGTCACTTGATGAAAGCATTGATGTGAAAAATCCCTGTTGCACATGAATTATCAAGCATCAGAATTCAAATTTGACTGAAGCAAATGATTTAAACCATTTAACACCAAATCTGAATCATTGTGATCAGAGTAAGACACAAGTAGAGTTATGTTTTCCACCCTTGGATGACTGCTTGTAATTATCATTAGGAATAGTACTTCCTGCTATTGAGGATGGCTGCTGGTTACTTTGAGGTGATGATGTCCACGTTGTCTGAGTCACTGGTGTTGCTGCTGCACTTGGGTAAGTTCTAGCAGTTGATGACAAGAATGAAGATGATGGTGCAGGGACACTTGGTGCAACTCTTACGGATGCCACCACATTCTGCAATAAAGTTGTGCAACCAAGAAATCAATTAAAGGCAGTCAATGAAAGTAAAGTAAACTTTCTGCAATGCTGCATAGCTATGGGCCAATTTACCTCACTTTCCATACTAAGGCCAAGTGGATTTTCCTTCAAGATAGAAACCAATAATTTCACATGGGATTTCAGACTAGAAAAAAGTTAGGAATTAAATCACTAATAGCCTGGAACTTTGAGGAATTATTCAAAAGTAATGTTACTATTTGTGATAATTACTTGACATTATTTCTCATTAAGTATAATACTCAGAAAATAGAAATTACTCAAATTTTACTTGGCGCAATAATTTTTTTTCAACAATTTTACCAATGAATTATTTCAATGTGGTTTCTGCTACAACCTACACAATTATGCCATTGGTGAACAAAAGCAATGAAACCAGCACTGAAAAAATTCTGCTGATAGGATAAAATGCAATGAAAATTTCATTTTACAGCTTCATAACTTCAAAAATGTGTTTGTTGAGTGGAAGCCTCATTGGTCTGAACAGAAGAAAATTACACAGAGGCAAGCTGGGTCTACTGTGTGGGTGCAGCACCAGTGTCAATCCCAACTATTTGATTGCATGGGATGTTTCATGGGACATATGTAATCTTGTGCTGCTCCATTTCAACATAATATATTTTTGTGGGGTATCTTTCAAAGCAGGAAAGTTTGATGTATATGCACATATGGAAATTAAATGAATCCGTTTTGAGAAAGTGACAAAGTATTCACTCATAACATCAGCTTCCATGAATTTGAACAGTCCCACTTGCTAATCTATGATAATCCATGAAGTCACTTAAATTCATGTGAATTCAGGACTCCACCTAGCAATGAAAACTCACAATATAGCAAGCACCCTTGAACTTGCAAATTTTTGTGATGAGAAATACAATGCGGAAGCATTAACCTCAAATGTGGGTATGACATACATATCCATCATGATGAAATGCTCCCCAGGTGGGTTTGACACAAATATATGTCATGCTATATTTGAGCGTGAGTTAACCCTTTACTGCATTGTGGGCTAGATATAGAACATACCATAATCATTTTTATTTAAAATTGCTTTAAGACTCACTATGTGGCAATGGGGAATTTTTTAAACATCCTTGATGTTCCAGAATGGGAAGAACACCAATACATTTCAAATGCATATTTGTTACCAACTGGCAGCATATTGAAAGCACCAAGTCAGCACCATAGCTGAGTAAAGACCTTTTGCCTTATTTCACCACAATATCCTTAATTCTTTCAATATTGAATTTCATGTCTGAAAAAAAAAACTTTGTCATGCGTTATTTGTCTCATCACTCTGTTTGACTGTATATGAATATACAGTCAAACAGAGTGATTCGCTTAACGAGTGTTTCGCATTACGAGTAAGATTCGGGAACAAATTATGCTCGTTAAGCGAGGTTCCACTGTACATTAGTGCTTACTCTGAAACTGAGTCTTCAGCCAGTTATGTCTTCATCATTATGCATTCATGTCAAATTGAAATATAAATGACATGGATTCAAATTTCTGTTGAGGTGTGAAACAAAACAATCATGACAGTACAGAATAGTGGACCTATGGTAAAACCTTCCTATCAGCAAAATGGGGAAAAATTACAAAAAACACAACCTTTAAAGATTAAAATTGTGAATATTTCACCTTAATGATTTCATGTGAATCCCACATCATTTTTTTAATGACAATTTCTTAATAGATTTTTATTATTATTGAGCATTACCATGTTTTCTACTAAGCCATTGAAAAGCACTTACTGGCTGAGGCACTGAGAATGGGGAATATGATGTTGGGGCATGTGTGTCTTGTTGCTGACTTTCTTCCTGCAAACGTGGCAATGGCCATGGCACCTAGGCACAAGAAAATACTTTCACATAAGTACAGGGGCTCAAGTAGAATTTAAGTCAAGTTAAGATAACAAGTCCACTTCTTACCAGTTATTTCTCATTTTCCCTTCGATTTAATCTTAGATATGACAGGAACCTTTTTTTTATATATGGAAGCTTCAGGATAGCAAGCAACAAGATTTACATTAAACCACCTAGTAATAAGTAAATCACTCACAAGTTCTCTAATCGCTCTCTCAGCTTCCAACACACGATTCCGATACCCAATTATAATAATTTCATCAGGTGGACCTCCTGTGTTTTCTTTTGGGAAATTTATCTTCACTTGATGGTCTTGAGTCAGCTTATTCACTGTTTCACCACCTTTCCCTATTAATTTTCCATGGAACCGTGCTGGTACCTTCAGCTGTCATGAAAAATAAGAAAGCATAGTCTTGAAGTTCATGGAGAACAATGAGGACGAGTTCATAACTTGATACTTGTATGCCACCAATTCCTTCCCTGCAACATGCATCTGAATTCAAATGAGGATGTTGTTGAAAAAAAAGCACACCCTCTTAGATGGAATTCTTTAGCACTTCAGATCATCATTCACCATTCCAAGTAGGGAGTAGAAATAAAATGAACTTCTATAAATTCAACAGCAAAAGGGAATGATGAGCAAGAAGCATGACTCACACGCCCTTCAAATGAACGAGCTCTTCTGTCCTCTCGTTGGGACTTCAACTGCTGAATCTTCTCCTCTACAGCCTTCCTGGCTTGCTCCACATTAGTAAGTGGACCTGTCACCTGGAAGAGATTATTAGATAGGTTTGCACAAGTTCAACTCTTTCCAGAAAAAAATCCTATATCTTACTCTTTCCACTCATTTAACAAAATTTCCGTGACTAGTTGTTTTGTAGCAAGCAGAAACAGGTACAAAAGAAATTCCTTGTCTTTTCCATATCAAAACTGGCAACACAACAGCTACAATGTAGTAATATGATATAGATAGAATATAGAATCCACAGAACCAGCCATATCATAACAATCTGAGTCAATCATAAGCTCAAATATAACTGTAATCAATTAACAAGAATCTCATGATCTATACATAAACCATATTTTGCCAAAATCGTTCATGTGAAGAAACAAAAAGGCACCAACATTTGAATATCATAGTATTAGATTGTTTCACATGAAATGTCCGATTTTTCTCTATACAGGCAGTCCTCGACTTACGACGCTCCGACTTACGACACTTTGACTTAGGACGCTCTAAGCCTAGGGCTGAAGGAGTCATTGACATGTAGGCCTGAGGCCTCCCCCGTATTACCATCATATGTCGAGGACTGCCTGTACAATATGATGTCTTCAAAAGAATTGAGACTACTTTTTTTGTATGAGTTCAAATTGGGGCACAATGCAGCTGTAGCCGCGAGTAACATCGACTTGGCGTTCGGGAAAGGGACTGCTAACCAGCGGACTATTCGGCGGTCGTTCGAAAAATTTCGATCTGGAGACATGAATCTCGAAAATGAGCCCAATGGTCAGGAACAACAAAGAGCCATTCTTGGAGCGAATCATTGCCTGCGACGAGAAATGGATCCTGTACAATAACCGGAAAAGAAGTGGACAATGGTTGAATGCTGGTGAAGCTCCAAGACATGCACCAAACCCCCATTGCACCCAAAAAAGGTCATGGTGACAGTATGGTGGTCTGCAAAGGGAATCATACACTATTCTTTTTNTGTTAATTGATTACAGTTATATTTGAGCTTATGATTGACTCAGATTGTTATGATATGGCTGGTTCTGTGGATTCTATATTCTATCTATATCATATTACTACATTGTAGCTGTTGTGTTGCCAGTTTTGATATGGAAAAGACAAGGAATTTCTTTTGTACCTGTTTCTGCTTGCTACAAAACAACTAGTCACGGAAATTTTGTTAAATGAAATTTTATTTGTTAAAAATATAGCCTTTTAAATCTCATCTTCAAAATCGGACATTTCATGTGAAACAACCTAATACTTCTAATGAAATGCAATTTAAAAAAAAAGAAGAAAATTCTAATTGAGAGGCAACCAAATGACTCCTTAGGGCATGAATGCAATATTCAAAATCAAATTCTGGCAGCTCCTTGAACTCTAGAGTTGTACTGGAAACTTTTAATGTTATTGAAAATCTAATGGGGTTTAGAATCTTTGATTTTTTGGTTACTGCAACTTATTTCACTCTTCCTTGCATTCCTTCAGTTTTCTTTGCACATTAAATCGATAAAGCCTTCTATGTGATTGTTCCAGATAATTAGTATGACCCATAGTCACTATTGAAATTGGAATGTTTAGCAAGTTGTGTCCATGAATAATTAATCCACACCTTTGAAACTAAACAATATCATGGTAGGCAAGTAGAAATATGGGTACCAAATTTCATCAGGATTGGTTAGCTCCTTCATGATTGTATCTTTTGGTGATAATTACAATTTTAAACTTTGTGGATTACACCTATCTCAGAAAATTATGTCCTTTGCAGTTAACACGTTGACGACCAGCCTGTACAGTTACTCTGGTGATGCATTATCCTAGTTCAACCTTAGTTCAGCCTTTATGAGCAGGGTTCTTTAGCATCCCACATCTGGAGATTGGAGTGTCAAGTGCTTGGGCATCTTCCTTCCTTATCAGGACGCATGGTCCCAGAAAACAGTTTTTTCCTAGTTTTTTTTAAAGTTGAATTTTTTGGAATTTTTTTTGGAACCTGCATCCTGCCATCAGGATGCATTGTCCCACGTGGCAAAAAAATCTGTGTCCTGGCATCAGGACGCATTGTCGCCAACGTGTTAAAAACATAGGTTTTGCAGGAATCCAATCTTTGTCAATATCCTCCCTCCTCCCCTTCAAATTTTTCAAAAATTGAGAATCAAGAGGGGATGACCCATCTATAAGTTTCCTTACTATGATGTCATTAGAGGAATCTTGAAAAGAGGGGACGTGGATCTTGACACCATATGCTTCCATGAATTCATTCACCACCTTCCCCTTAACTCCAATCATATGTCCTCGAAACTCTGGTGGAACTGGGACCTGCAATTGAGTAAAGTGCATGATTTCAGAGTGACAAAACATTTCAGTGAATGAAGTCCACAAGAAGGACAAAAGGATAGGACATGGAGCAAGGGCACTTTCTGACTAAAGGCAAGAAAGTACCTGAAGCTTAAACTGCAATGAGAAGCATTTTCCTTGAAAAAAATCAGTGTTACTGAATCTGTTTACTGAAATGAAGGGGTAACAGTGGCCATATCAATTTAAGTGAGAGCTTGAGGCCTGAAAGTTCACAAAAACCAGCATTCATTACTGCAAAATCTTAAGTTAAATTACTTTACTTCTATGGTTTACTATGCATCATGTAAGAAGGCATGCTTATGCCATGTGATTTTCCAATACTTGTGCTATTTTTTACTTGACTTAGAAACAAACATACTGCAATAGAACATTCTTGATTTAATTTTTGGTAGTGAATCAATAAGTTTCACAATTACATCAAATAGTAAATTAGAAGTATTCCTGGAAACACAGGTGAAATTTTTTCGGAGTTACCTTGTCAGTGACAATATTGTTGACTCTTTTGCATGGCAAATGATGCCCCTCCTGAGGCCTTGATTTCATCTGTTTAGATGAAGACTTCTTTTGTTTTCCCTCGTGACGCTGCCTCCTTTTCTCATGGACCATGTTAGCTTTGCCAGACTTCTCCCATTCATCTCTCAAATAAGTTTTCCACTCCTTTCTTGTCTTCTCTGAATATGACTTGAACTTCTTTAAGACTCCAAGACAACGATCATCCAACACATCATGGTTCAAAGAACATTGTGCATCATCACACTTCTCCATAATGTGACAGACACATATGTGTAATCTCTGACAGTCTGACTCCTTCTTGCACCCTTCTAGATTGTAACCAAAGCAAATCTCAGGAACAAAGGAGGGCAACTGGATGAATTTTCTTAACCCCATTTCATCTTCATCCTCCAAGCCAAACTTCCTCAGCACCCTCCTATTGTGCCCTGTCTTGAAGTCATGCCCTTCATCACATTTGACACGAGGGCACCTTCCACATACATACTTGGTACACACATGGAGTGATTTACAGTTTTCCTTCTCACATCCTTCAATTGAGAGGTGGGCATCACAAACTTCAAGAGTGAGTGAAATGACACCCTCTTCAGAAATGGAGAACAGGTCATGCCCCTTAAGGAGCTCCAAAACATCTCCCACTGGCATCATAGCTGGATGACCCAATCTACTTGTGTGAACTTTTCCACTTGTAGACTCCCTTAGGAGTTTCATGATCTTCTTCTTTATCTCCTCTGCATCCTGGAATCAAAGTCTTAGGAAACTGCTGCAACTGCAAGCCTCATGGAACTTAGAGCATGGTAAAGATTATGCAAGACAATCCATGAGAGAACTTACCATGTCATAAATCCAATGGCAACCTATTAAAGCATAATTCAAAAGAGAAAACCGATGTAAATGTCTCCTCAAAACTCTCCTCCTTAAAGGTTTTTTGTCATCATTTGCGAGCATTTCCAAAAAATGTTCCATACCTGACTATGTTCTTTTAATGAGGAGCTTCCCCATGAAAGCAATATGCAATTGATTCACAAGAAACAAAGAAACTTGATATAAAGTCAATGCTAAGTCTTGTTGACACAAATAAATGTGATTAAAAGTGTGCTATAACAAACACAGACATGCTCATGATATATTAAAACTTGAAATCAAAGAGTTTGATGTCTTGAAATAATGAATTCCACACCAATAGGTTCATGACAATGAGATCCACATGCATGTACCACTGTAGGTTTCTTGCAAGGATCCATATGGACTGCCCTAGACTCTAATGGCAGGGAGCCCAGGTTCAAACCCATTCTAGTTAGGCATTTATGTCTAGGTATAAGCTTCAGTGTGCTTAGGAAGGAAGATGCCCAAGCACTTGACACTCCAATCTCCAGATGTGGGATGCTAAAGAACCCTGCTCATAAAGGCTGAACTAAGGTTGAACTAGGATAATGCATCACCAGAGTAACTGTACAGGCTGAATTGAGTCCCTTGGGGTTAGAGGCTATTTGTTTTAGCTGGTAATACACGAGGAGGAGGTTAGCTGGTGTTCCTGGCACTCCATAACTAGGGTGTCAACATGGGCCTATAGCCTCTAGCATCAGGTATACCATTATATCATTTCAAATAATATATCAGTGGATCCCACTCTTCTGAACTCATATAAACAAGGTAGGCAAACTCAGCTATTTTTTAGGCAGTTTCTGTTATGTCCCATTGATTTTGGACTTTTCAAAGTGAATTTAACAGTAGACACCAAGAGACAATGAATAGCAGTAATAGAGCTTTTTCCTCACTAATCCCATACATTTTTTTAATTTGGGATGCTTAGTACTCCCCAAAAGCATTCAATGATTTGAAAGCATATGGCTGGAATTAAAAGGGCCCTTCCGAATGATATACAAATGACAAAAAAAAGATGGTTTTACATTATCTATAGGATTGACGAAACATACCCAATAATGCACATCTTCACCATCTGCATCTGCAAGAGAAAACACATCTGTTTCAGCTATATCTTCACTGATTCAAATCAAAAATGCAATGTATAAATCAATATATCATATGTTTATCCATTATTAGCCAAAAATATCAATGCTAAACACCAAGCCATGTTATCTTTATGATCATATTGCAGAAAGTGGACCTAGTTTTAAAGCATGCCTTTGACCCTCACTGACCAATGGGTCAGTGAGGGTCAAAGAAACTTAGACATGGCAGCACCATCTGAGCAGGTGTGGCTTGGAATGCATTCAACTACCAAAGGTGATACTAGAACTGAATGAAACAATTAGAAGAAAGCTGCAGAAGAGAAAATCCATTTTTTGGACCATAGAACAACAGAGTGTAAAGTGGATTTGGATGCATATATATTAAAAGAAACCTTCCATCAAGAAAGCTGATGGGGACACATTTCCATCGTCATTAATAGCAGCTGAAAGCAAATCAGTCCAGAGTTATGAATGCATTTTTGGCTAGTGTATTCTTTGCCAAATGTGTACAGTATATGAATGAGGCAATGTGTGCCTCCTTTCGGAAAGAATTATCAAAATTCCATACAAGCCAAAGTTGCATCTGTTGAACAGTCTGGAAATGAGGTTCACGTATATTTTTCAACCAGCAAAGTTGCTTCAGCTAGACTCCTTACTTATCACTCCCAAGAAAGTGATGTGGTTTAAAAAATATATTTTTTTACCAGAATCAATCTTCAATTTGTACTCCCTCTCCTCAATGGAAATTTAAGTACGGACCATTTAGTGGTCTACCTCAGAAAAAAAAGAATACAAAAGATGTGCAAGCATCCTGCAGCCCAGAAAAGTGATGGAAAATGACTAAACCTCACACATTATTATTGATAAGACATGAAAATCCATGTCTTTCCAAACAGTATGTCATACCATCAGGCATGCATGACCTCTGCAGGCGTTGCATTGTTTCATGACCTTACTGCAGTTATAAAGGCTATAGACAAGAATCATAATAAAATTGCTGTACTAAGATCTTTGGAAAAGACTGCTCTCTTTGCAGCTTGCAGAAATAGGCACTTGCTATCTACTGACCAAATTTGGCAACATTGTTTTGAGGCAGAGGGTGCTTAGTGCTGCAAGATGCATTTTTCCTGGCATGAAAGAGGAGGGAAAAGTTATGGTGAATCACAAAATTATTTATTAGATCATATTGTAAATCATGCATTTTGATTGAAAGCCATTAACTTTTGTAAATATAAATTTTTGAAAGTTCATTTTGAATTAAACATGCAACAGGTGACCATAAATAACATAACTTAGGCAATACAACGGACCAGTAGGATTTTCATCTTTATCCAAAAAAAAAAACTTCATTTCATGTTTGATCTGTCATGTCCCAGTTGCACTTCCACTAAGACCTAAAAGAGCCAGTGATACATGGGAAAGACAAGGATAACATTTTTCCACCAATGGACATTGCAACCAGGAAAGAATTATTGAGCACATGTTCCATGCAAGCTACATATCTCTTAATGTCAGATATGAAACCAATGCCACTTACCATACACATAGTTGGTCATGACTGTGCTATATGGTATTCCTGATTGATCGGCATTCGAATGCTCTATTGATGGCTTTCCCCTTTGGTGGTTGGGTTGAGATGCCCCTCCCTTTCTCCCTCCTCTTCTGCCTCTTTGCTTCCTCTTTTTCTCTGCCTTTTCTCTTCCACTTTCAGGTTCTTCTGATACAGCAAAACCTGCAGGCTCTCCAGCCTCCAACCAAAAGTTGATTCCATTGTTGACATCATCATCAAAGGAGTCTTTAGGGCCAAGACCATCATCAGAGCCTGTATTCCATTTGGAGTCATCCATTTCACTTTTCAGAAATTCAGGACTCTTTCATATTAATTAGATGGTCTAAAAATTCCAGAGCCCTATGATCACATCATCAGCACCAACATGGATTGAACATCCAACCTAGTTTCACAATAGGATAGGTTCTAATTAAATCTAGTTTCATCATAGAACATCAATGAAAGAACAATTTGCTGGAGAAAGAAAAAGCCAGAAAACTGAGAAAACAGCTATCCATTAATAATATTCAGGACGAATTGCATAGTGAAGCAGAATGGAATGTGTACTCTAGTACAATCCTGGCCTATAATAGGTTCAATCATATACTTCTTTACTGTTGGCTTGGGGCTTTGAAGTGCAAGGGAGTCATCAAAAAGTTCAAGCAACAAAACTGCCCCTCCTCCATTTCTGCACTTACATAGACAAAAGTAAATTTGTCTTCTCAACATATTATTCTTGCATACATTTGCTCTCTTGCATTTTCTTTTTACACTTTTGGAAACAGCTGACATGTTCACAGGAAAACTGTCGATATCAGAGCATGTTGGATGTAGCACCATAGCGCCCATGAAAGGCATCTCTCACAGCAGGGAACAAGGTAGAACAGTAGACATTAATCTGAATCCTATTCCTGGAAGGCATTCATCACCTGGGGCCAAACTGGAGCTGAATAATAGCACCCTCTGACCTTGTGGTGTTCGCATATACAGGATGGGATATAAATATTCATATCACACGTAACTGTTCATCCTGCTTGTCCAAGAAACGAAAAGAAAGAATGGTGTGGTACTTACACGTCAGCGTCTTTTTGGTGGCCAATACTGGGTGCTTCGACAGGACTCCAATGAGCCACAAAGACTAATGCACAAAAAGCCTGTCTAGCAGATCACATAGCAGCGATTATTTAAATAAACATGTATGGCCCCCTTACAGTCACGGCCTCAATCCGATAAATTATATTATGTGGAGCCTGCTGGAAGTGTCCAAAAACGAAAACAAGCGACCTGAATTACTTAAGGCTAGTGCTGCAAACGGAGTGAAACTACGTCCGTATTCGACCGGCAGACTCGAAGATGGTGGGTAGCCATCAAGAAGGGAGACACGTTGAAAATATTTTATGAATTGTCGCAGTGAGTCTTTCTGTCTCGTTGAGATTCAGTTTATTTTGACAAAAATTAATTGTACAATCAACACGAGACTTTTATTTGGGATGAATATTTAGGGCCCACCCTGTACCAGGCGAGGCACAAAAAAGGTGCCGTTCTTTCAAAAATCTGTGGCGCCTCTGAAACAAAAACTATAACAATGAAGTTTCTTTCATACACACTTCTACACATCCTTTGAGCATCTAAAAATGTTTTCTTGTTCGTCTTTAATTACTTTAGCACATGAGTATTTTGGGAAAGCAACTATAATTTTTATTTTGGTACTCGCACCTGGACGCCAACGACGAGACCAGCCCCTCAAAAAGAATGACAATTCTCCTCTGCACTTAGGAATTCACTAAGCAGATCTCCGTCTCGTCTGACAAACTTGCAGATGGGAATTTCGTATATCAGAATTTATCATCTTAAGAAACAAGGACTTCCTCCACACGAAAGCAGTTTCCCTCAGTTCCGTCTTCCGCTCCTTCTCTTCCTCTCAGAAGAGCTGATATCTCGCAGCTCTAGAATCAATCTCTTAACGATAGGCCAATATTTCCTTCACCCTTTACCAAGTAATTCTCGTATAATTCTTCCCCACTCCAATCTTTCGCAAAGGATAGCATTTTTACTAGCAGACAGAGGTGCTCTGGCCCGTGATGGGTGCGCTCCACGCGTAATCAGCTACTCCTCCACCGATAAATTTTCTCATATAAATATTAATGTTGAGTTGCCTTCGCGTTTTCGCTCTAGGGGAAGGTGGGCAAAACGGGGCAGTTAAGGATTGCTAAAAGTTAGCACCAAGGAGCTGGCGTAGCACCTTGCAGATGGGTATGCGGTACCTTTCATGTCTTACCTACGACTAGCATTAAACTTCATCGCGAAATCAGCGACGGTTTTTTTTTACCCCAACAATTCTTAATTTTTTTGTCAAATATCTCATTTTGCTCCATGCCCCTACGGGGCAAAACGGGATAATTGTCCAAAAGTTGTTTAACGAAGTTTATTCAAGATATACAGTATATTTATTTACATAGGTCACAGAGCAGAAACAGCAAATATGTACATACAAATAACAAACCTGCGATTTTCCACAAGTTTGCCAGTGTCTTCTATATGGCTACTTAAAAAGTTAAAAAGTAAAAGAACAGAGACCAAAACGAAACATCCACAAATAACAAACAGATGCCTTCTCGTTTTGAGGTCTTCATTATATTCCTCCTTACAGATGTCAAAGAACAGAAACAGTAATCTATAATAATAATTTAAAAAACTGATTTTTCTCACGTTTTCTCATGTCTTCATTATTATTCCTATTTACCAAGGCCACAGAACGGAAACAACAATGAAACTTATATGAGAAAACAATTGCTGCTTGAAACTGTTATCCACGTCAGTATCATAGATGCAAATTTACATAATTCACAGACAAACACGTCCTCATCGATGTCTACCGTCAAGAGCCGAATCTCGCAAGCAGATGATTACCTCCATTTTCGGCCCAGTGGAAACTCGCCCCCGCATTCCAATTGACGAGAATCACAAGATGCGTTTTAATCTTCGATCTACACACGGTTGGGGCGAAAGTACACCGAAGGCGACTTTCCACGCCTGATTGCCATAACTATCTCAATCTTTAAAAAGGGAAGACAAGGTCAACTCCCAGTTTCACTATCCCTCCCTGTGTAAGACGGATTCTGATGTATGGTTAGAAGAGCCGCTGAAACATTTTTTAACTTGTGGCTTTGATTTAGAAGGGAAAATCGCACATGGAATCGCGGCTGGTCAGGCTGGAGACTGTGGGTGCCAGGATAAGGAAGAAAATGAAATCCGATGGTCTCTCCGGAATCTACTCATCTATTTCGGACAAACGAAATTGATCTTTAAAGAATGTCACAGCCCTGTATTATGCGGTGTCATTTGGTTAGACCATCTGTTCCTACGGAAACTGTTCGTCCAGATGCAAGTTTTTTTTGCTGTATGACCTTCTAATTTGTGCATTTTATACCATCATTTCACTGCAATATAAGATTCTTCATAAGAACAATGACTTCTGAATCCACGAGGGACTATAGTTCCTATTCACTCCAAGTCACTTTCAGTATCTATCTTACAGAGGGTGAGAAAGTGAAACTGGGAGTTAACCTTACCTCCCTTTTTAAAAGGTCAGGGCAGACGTGGTTATCAGTCACGAAATCAACGTTTGGAGAGTCGCCCCAGCGCACTCTCGTACCCCTTTATCGAGTAGAGATGATGGGGAACATTTAGCAACTATATATCAATTAAGTCTGTAAAATGTTATGAGTTATGTAAAAAATTGCGACTTCAGGCTATAGTTCACATTTTCACCTTTAGCCAAATATAATATAATGTTCCCATGTTACCTTATTTCGCTCATCAAACACTCAAGAGAAAATAAGAAAAGTCAAATGTTTTCTTACTTTTCTCTTAGGGTGTTAAACAAAGTACTTTACAGAGCGCTCCCGCGCCAGAAAACGTGCACTTGTGGCGGGGGGTTATAATTAGGGAGCGGATTTTTATGAGCTAATGAGTTTTAAAAATGCACATACACATGTGCTTAAAAATGCCAAAACATGCATGAAATATGCATCAATGAGGAAAAATATGCAAAAACGTGTTTTTTTTTAAGCAGTACAAAATTTTTCGGAAGAAGGAACTTCAATGAACATTTCACGCCCTAGAGCAAAACCACCGATGTTCGGACAGTTGAGCTTGCCATCTTCATCATTCGCTCGTCCTATCTCAACGGTACAAGCTGGAGGCTTCATTTTTCAGCTTTTCTCCCCACACTCCTCATTTTGTCATTCTCTTATACCTCACCCCTTTTGATTTTATACTTACGTGCATTTGTTCAGCTTCAGTGTGTTCTGTCCAATTCTGCTTATTTTCTTACGTATTTTATATTTATCTATTTGTTTATTTATTTATCTATTTTTCTCTTCACCTTCTGCCTCTTTATGAGAATATGTACATTTGTCGTTTTCAGATATGACGAACTCAACGGACCTAATGGTTTTCCAAGAGTGATGGAATAAATATTATTATTATTATTTGCTCCTGGAAGCACGACACGATGAGGTATGTGTGCAACAAAGGTATGAGTGCAACAAGATTTTGTCATTCTTAGCCTTATGACTACCGATATTGTGGATGTCCGAACTTAGATGCGAAAATAATTAAGTTCAGACACTTTCACCTTAGTTCGGACACCCCCATTTTAAAGTCTCAGAGGCTTGAAACACTTCCTTTTGGTGTAAAGGAATTATAACCCGCTCCCAAAGTATTGGATCTTTTCTTTTCTAGAATAGGACGATCGTGATTGAGTGAGTGAGCGACTGACTTTAATTCAAACCTTATATTGGATGAGTTTGAAAGTTTGAACTTGATATACGAATAACTCTGATGGTGCGGATTTCAGGTAATATTTCTAAGAAAGACGTTTCTCCATAATTCTTTTTGCTCCAAGGAAACGGAGAGACATGTACGCTGAAACTTGGTGCATCGGTACCTATTGAGATAAGATTTCAGGAAGGAATAAGAAACTTTTATTATTTGTTCCCAAGGGCGTATTTTTCGGAAGGACCTTTTCCAAAAAAAAAAATTTTTCCCAGGGAATCATGGAGGCAGAAGGCTGAAACCTTACTTCATAGGCACCTGCTGGTGTACAGATATAAGGGAAAATCCAACTTTTGGGATATATCTCCTGAGGGTGCATTTGGGGGAGCCATGTTTAAATATATATTTTGCTACATTGAATCGGGCTGTGGCGGATATAAAAACCTGGAATTTGGTAAGGTTGCTCTCTAGTCGCTTATTTCTGGAAAAATCCTACTCTTGTAGTAAATCCCTTGGGTGCACACTTTTCATTTGGGTTATGTTTTCGGAATTTCTTTTTTAAAAGCAGACCGGGCAGGCACAGTTCGTTACATTCAGTATACAAGTATTTCTCTGCATGCTTAATTCATAAAACATCCAACTT